TTTAGCATTAGCTCTAGATTAGAGAAAGATTGAATGTGATTTAGTTTTCTCTCTAATGCTATTAAAAACTTCCAAGAGTTCACGCCATGGGCTCATCAAAAAAGACTAGCCCAAGAAGTTAGTTGCGGAGCTCTAATATCAGAATGGTATAGTTGTGGGATTGTCAAATTCAACTCTATCTTTTCCTAAGAAGGATTGTGGTAGGATCAGGGGGGTTGTATCCACCTTCATTCTATGGAGGGATCAACAAAGGAGGGGGGATGGGAGGGTGGGGGAATAGAGGGGAGCTCATTGTCTCAATTTTCTTCGCTTGTTATTATTACACCATCCATTATTTTTGGTGGCCACCCATTCCAATGTGATATTATATTAGAATTATATTTATATTATCAGAGAGACAAAAGACAAGCATCAAATATCACTTATGTTGGAAAAGACTACATCGAAATTTGTAATTACACTTATCCAAAATCATTTGATATGATTTAGACCAATCAATTAAATCATTTGAAATAGCTTTAGTGCACAGTGAGACATTTGGCTTTGGGTTCTATTTTATTCTTTTTATTTTTTTTATTTTATGTCAAAGGGTTCTCTCCCGGAGAAGCTTGTAATATTTATGGCTTTGATGAGGTGTAGAGTAGATAAGATATATTAACTTGTTAAGTTCCTCCTTGAATTCAATGGATATAGAAGAGAAATAGTAAGTCAATGACAATTTCATTTCAAGTGGAGTTGGTGCTTCTACTTCTCTTGAGCTAGTGTAGAGTAGTATTCCTATCAGTAACAAGATAGCAAGATAATAAATTAAGAGATTAACATTAAAATATAAATAAAATTTTTAAAAAATTCTTAATTTTTCGAAGATATTTTTTTATTATTACCAAAGAATTCTTGAAATACTATTTTGATAAACAACTAGAATAGTATCTTCTAGTTATATCTTATGAATCAATCTATAAGGTGAATCGATTTAATTTCCCAGTTATATTATTTATAAATAGACTTATAATGTTTTAGTGAAAATTCTATAATTGATATATAAGTTCTCCTATTTTGTTATTCTTATACATATTTGAAATCCTTTTTTAAATAAATTAATTTTTATTAAGTTTTTATTTTATTTATCTTAATTATGGTACTTTGGTAGAGATACTAAAAATATTATAAACCCATTTGAAGACATTATAACTGACAATGTAAATCTTATATATAGGGGATTGGATTGGTTCATCCTATCCTATGAAGCACTCTCTAAGGGGTACCAAAATACTGCTCTAATTATTATTAAGGGATATTCCAAATAATTATGAGAAATAATGATACCCATTACAAAATTTGAAAAAGGAACACCTCTTGAAAAAAAATCCAAAAAAAAGATTTTTTTCAAAAGTTCACCCATAAAATATTAAAAAAAACTTATAAAATCAGTGTAAGATTATATAGTTTGATAATCTTTACCTATATATGTATATATATATATATAGGAAAATATTAAAAATTTATTATGTGAAACCAAATTATAAGTTTTCTTAACCACAACTTAGGCATAAAAGAATTTCTTACAATTTATAAGTTTTATATAGTTTGATAATCTTTCACTTATCCTCTCTAAATCTATTAAAGAGAAATCTAAGGGTATTTTGTCATATAATTCTCCCACTTATCGAATATATTTAAAAGTTATCAAATCTTTACTTGAAAAAATAGTCTTTCCATAATAAGATATCTTATTTTCCAAGAATACTGATTCTCAAAACCCAAAAATATCTATCAACCCCAATATGATAAGTAAGCGTGAGCTACACTCCAAACATAGACCAACAATAACACTGCGATCAGAAAAAGAAATTAAAGGAGAGGAAGGAGTAGGAGAAGAAAGAAAATAAAAAAAAGAAAAAGACTCTAAAGAGGGAGGAGAAGAAGAAAAATAAGAAAAATCATCAAAGAAAAAAATAAAAAAGATTTAAATCAGTTGGAAGCAAACAAGGAAAGAAATCAATCCATGCAAACCTCAGAAGATGAAACATAAATGAATGAAAAGCAAAACACATCAAGAGGAAGAAAAGAGGTAGAAGTAAAACTCGAAGATTGTGGCCGTCATTTAAATGAAGTCCTTTGCTCGTCCAACACTTCGATCAGCATAGTACAACACAGCCCGTCATGGAGCCCAAACAGGTCCGTCGGCTCCTCCATCACTGATCCTTTCATCTATAGTAGTAGCAATCCATTTCTCTCCCTTTCAATGCTTGTGTCGGAAGTGAAGATCGTAAGATGACAAAAGGATGGTACCATAAGGTTTGAAAAAGTAGATGATTTATATTGGATTTGATATATAATAAGTAGATGTCAAATTTGATGTATGTTGATCTTAACTAGTTTAACCGGACATCATGATTTGATTTAAAATTCTTAATAGATTTTACAATAATCAACAATTAAGTGTTTTATTTCTTTGTCCCTTCGGCTTTACTTGATAGCTAGGAGGTGGTTGGACTTTTAACCCCCACTAATTTGCGTGTTTGATGCCAAGTGTCAATTGAAATGATTTCAATGTGTGCATTGACCATTTGTGCAATCAATTCATTAGAACTGTGATGATAGTGCAAGCCCTTTCAACTTTACAGTGGTAGTGGGAACCTCTTCCTCTAAATTAAATCAATCATCTATAATAAATAAAAATTGATTTTTGACTGTTAGAGATAATATTTTACGCATAATCAAGATTTGACACGTGGAAGTCAATCTACCAATATCATAAAATGATAAAACGTAAAATATTTTTCAATAATACTAATCTAATATGAAATTGTTAAGGATTTTAGGTCCATTCAATATTAATATTTCTTTTCTCTTACACCTGTTATATTTTACCTCTAATATCGGAGAGATCTATCTAGTTAGATATGACCCCGATGCTGATCTCTTTTTATAGGAAAGACATTAAGTTTTTTTTTTTTTTTTTTGCCCAAGATTCTTCTTTGTTGGTACTATTTTTTTTATGATTCATGTAATTAATTTGATTTTGAAAGATAAAAAAATTTAGAAGACAAATCACATACGTCAGGTTATCTCCCTAATCCAGATTGACAATCGACCTCATCACTAACCTTTGCCACACTTTGTGCTGAATAGGTTAATCTTTCTTTCTTTAGTGCCTAAAGAAGCATAAGTTTCATCTTAATCCTCTACCTATGATTTCATCGCCTTTCAGTTTTTTTTTTTTTTATCCCATTGGGTGTCACCTCGTTTGGCCTTTGGATCCATCTGAAAGCCTTCAACAATGCCTAAAGAAAGGCTTACACGTGTAGTAAATGCCATACATACGTGTAAGAGGGATTGGAGTATCCTAATTAATCGCCATGCGTCCAATAGCCATATGGTTGGGAAGGAAGAGACCTTTTTTTTGTGTGTGTGAATCATAACTTAACGTCGGCATATCTTTCTATTTGGGATTTATTCTTTATCGTGTATATTGCGGATAGCGACCCACATGATTCCTTTGCACTGCACGTTTAATTCTCTTTAACAACATGGAAAGTATGTAGTCATAAAAAAAAAGAAGTTAACCTCATATGAAGCGTGTCATACTTGGTTTCTTAGAGAGAGAGAGAGAGAGAGAGAGAGAGAGAGAGAGAGAGAGAGAGAGAGAGAGGGCAGAGGGTATTGTACATTAAGTTGTTAATTTTCATTATCAAAAATAATTTTTAATTGTTTAGATGGTAAATGATCCTACTAGTGGCAGCATCGTAAGAGTATATATATATATATATATATATATATATATATATATATATATATATATATATATATTTGTGATAGTGTCAAATTTGATCATGAATATGATGTGTGAAGATTGATTCGATTTGATTATTTTTTTATATTGCTTTCAAAATCTAAAGTCATTAGTCAAATACTTAAGTAGGATTTTGATATGAGCTCTAGTTGGAGAATCCCAAATAGAATTGTTTGAATATGATTACTTATTATGTTTTTCCAACTTAGATGAAAATAGAATGGGTACACAGTGTTTTCTAGAAAACTTGTACTGAGTATAATTTGCCAAGTCTCTCCATCCTGAAATTAATAATCAGAGGTTATAAAAAATTAGAATGGTTAGAAAAAGTTTTCACAAAGATAAAAAAATTTATTTGGTACTTCCAAAATCTCTTGAATGTACTACAACAAACTATCAAAGGAATTTTCTTTGAGTCAAGAACGATTTAGAGAATATTTTTATTAAAATTTCTACTAACATGATGAGTCCTTGTGGCTTATTTTATAACTTGTTTTCTGATTAATATTTATCCTGATCGTCGAAAACATAGCCTAATTGCATCCCTGAATCTAACTTTTACCACTCTAAGTTCCTAATTTGGAGTTGACCCATTGCTATTTCGTTTGACATGTTTACAACTCTTCAAATGAACATGTATCTCCTCTCAAATCACCACACTACACGTCGGATATGAATTGGATCATCATGGACGAATTAAGACACGAAGCCATAGGCAGGTGCGCATCTCACATCATTTCTACTTTAGTCACTCGTCTTACAATGACTAATAACATCCACTCCAAGTATAATGCAGGACATTAATATAGCCTAATGATCCAACTTGGTGGTCTTGGGATATGCTATCAACACAAACGCATTATATATACGTATAATAATACAATGTTAGGCCAAATGACATGTCTAACATCTTGTCAAGTGCTAATTAATTGAACACATTCCAAAGGATTGGTGGGCATTAGCAGCGGTGCATTAGTTTAAGGGATACGAATCTTAGGATGATCTATCCTGTCACCATGCACATGTTGACCATGTCATCTATTGGCATCACATTGCTCATCCATCAATGGCAGGACGACACGTAGCAGCGCGAGCCGCTCCCCGGCGTGAGACACGCTGACTGAGTCAGAAACCACGCGACTCGCTTAGATTTGGTGTTGGATCACATAAAGCATGCGTCCTTTAGCTTGTCTTTTATGTTGGATTGAGAGGAAATGAAAGCAATATTTACTTGGAATCCCATTCAACCTTACGAAATTAGATGAAATCAAAAAGGAATTACAACGTTCATTGATCTCCAGATCTGTCATGACGCAGGGAATTAACCGAGTCATAACCCGGTGGTGGCCAGGCTGAGTTTGAGGTCCAGCCCGGACGAGTCATCACGGACGGCCGAGTCCACGGCCGTGGAGGTCGGGACCTTGTTGATGGAGAACTTGGAGCAGGAGCTTGGTGCGGTAGTCACCTGAGCCACGTCGTAGACATGAGCGCGGCCGTAGCCGGCCGTGGTGCAGGAGAAGACGGCAGGTCCTGGTGTAACCCCGGGCGCGGATGAGGAGGGGAAGGCACACCCATGCGAAACGTGGAAGGGAGACGGCTGGTAGACCCAGTCGGCATGGCCGGGCCCAGGAGAGGGCGGACCAGCAGAGAGGAGGTGAGGCGGCGGAGTAAAAGCCGAGACAATCGGATTCCGAGGGTATAGGAAACCGCCGAAGCCGACGCCGCTGTGATGCAGCTGCTGCTGCTGCACTCGCTTCAGTTGCTGCCGCTCCTTCTTATGCGCGTTCTGGTGGCCACCCAGCGCCTGCGAGTTGGCGAACTCTCGGTAGCAGTACTGACACTCGTATTTCCTCTCCTCTCCTCCTCCACCACTTCCGCGTCCGCTACCGGAAGCGGTGGTGGTTGTGGGGGAAAATGAATCGGAGCCCACCCCGGTTTCCTCTCCCTCGGACACGTTGAACCCAAACAGCTTCAGCCTGGGGCTGCTGCTGTTTTTAGACGGGCAGTATCCGATCTCTGACATCTTACTCTCTCGTCCTCAGCCCGTCAAACAGATGTACACCAGAGAGAGAGAGAGAGACTTTATGTGGGGTTTTAGGGAAGCAGAAGCAGGATCAGCATCAGCATCAGCATCAACTATGAGGAGGAGGAGGAGGAGGAGGAGGAGGAGGAGGAGATGGAGAAGAGGTACAGATGCGGAGAAAACTTTGGAGTTTTGTTTGATTTGCATGGGTTGTTCTCATGTCTCCATGTATCTATATATAGCTCGGATTGAGGTATACTAAATCATTAGCGAAGAAAACAAAAAGAGTCTCATAGCAAGAGTAAGAAATGGATCTAGCATGAGAGAGAGAGAGAGAGAGAGAGAGAGAGAGAGGCCGCAGGAAGTAAGGGAACCCTAGATTGCGCTACTTAAGTATTATTTATGCGTCAGACTATTTTTCTAAAAGGAGTTTTGTTGTCTATATGTACCGCTTAGTTATTTGGAGAAGTGGCATCTGATGATAACAGCAAAAGAATGATATGATTTGAACTGAGTGGGTGCCACATTGATATACTTATATTATAGGTTTCATTGCTTTGTATCTGCCTAGTTAACACTAGAGCAATAAACATACACAGACACACAAAAAAGAAGTCCAACCCTGGCAGTGTGTGCGTGGCAATTTTGCTTGCTTTTAAGTTGGTGGGTTTCATGATGTGTTACCACATACATTCATGCCTGCCCATTACTTTATCATCAGTATTAGTCATTTGGTACATATGCTGCAAACATGGCCGTGTTTATTTTCTCTCAAAAAGATGCATCACATACTGCATGCACTCAATTGTACAAGTTCTTTGACTAGTACAAAACTTCACAGACAATGGAGATTTCAGGATTCTTTTTTCTACTCCACAGGATCCTGTTAGGATCTAGTAAGCCAAAGTTTGTATGACAGCTGGTAGGAAAGAAAGAAAAAATCTGACTTTGGGTGTGTTTTCCTCCTTTATGGGTTGCTCATCTGTGAAGCCAATGTTATTGAAGTTAGAGTAGGAGTTGCTATACATCTAGTTTACACTTGTAAAATCTAACACAGACCATAAAGCAGATAGCCAAATCTTCGACATCATCGCCTATCACCAACACTTGAACATCTGTCTATCTCACTCACTCTAAAGCTTTCTTTCTTCCCATCTGCCCTGCTCTAAAGTCTTCTCTCAACTACCAGCAAACAATAATACATGTCACTTAGTGTTGCACAAAGAAGGCCACTTGCAGAAGAAGCAGAAGAATGACCATTCATTGACTGAGTGCATGGCTAAGCAAAATATTCCTCCTAGGAAGGTCTTGAAGAAGATCTGACGCCTCTCGATGAATATTTTAGAAAACTATGCATGCCATAGTTTTCTCCACTCATCTGCTTACTCCCAACAATCTCTTTTCCTTGGTAAACAGATATGATCAAGCATGTTCACGAGAGGATTAGGGAGTTCGAAGACAGTAGGCCTAATGCTTCCGTAGATCGATAGGAGGCTAGGATTAGCAAAGCACATGGCCTTTCCTTGATATGTGGAACAATTTAAGATGCTCAACACTGTACTACAAGGTGTTATTTATTTACTCTTGCATGATACTAAGTATCTGTGATCTGAAATATTTTTCCCTTCCGACAAGCTTAGAGATGAGTATAAGCAGCTTTCTTGTGCTTTCTCTAAGTTTCATATCATATTTATGTAACTTGCAATTCACTATTGCAGCAACTCACACAGTGGTCAAAGAGTGTTAGAAGGCAGGGAAGACGGTGGTCAAAGAGTGATCGGAGATGGAAGTATTCCCCTCTCAATCCACCCTAAGTTCATTAGAAAAACCTTTGCAGGATTTCAGAGTGTTTTCCTCTGTATTTCTCCTTCTCATCAAAATATTAAGATAAATAATATATTTATAAGAATAAATCATAATTCATTAAGTACTCCTCTTACTAGATTCTTAATCTAAATCCTAATTTTAATCCACCAAGGAGATTTGAATATTCTAATAAGCACTCCTCCAAATAATTTGAATCTAATTAGGGTTTCTAAAATACTTATCAATTCTAGGAAATAGACTAATATTTTTTTGGCTTTGTTAATTGAGAGGATATAATATAATAGACATGTAAGATTACCCGAATCATGAGTGAGGTCCACCAAAAGAAGATAAGTGTACCGGTGGATGAGAGAGAGCTTCATATAATATTCACAGGATGACTTCATCCCCTTTCTTTTGGATTCAATTTGTGTGAATAATGGAGAAGATATGATTAAAAATAAGTTGGAAGCATGTTGACCATGCAAGTAATGTGGGCAGGACCCTTAAAATAAGCCCTTTGTATTCCAAGTGACATTACCTACTCCATTGAAAAGTTAATGATGCTTGGATGGATTTGACTTAAAGTCATGTGAAAGGTATCCTACGAACATACTTAATGGAGCCAAGCCCTAGAAATTAAGCCTACACCATAGTATTCAATGGAATTGTAGCCAATTCCATCATCTCCATTATCCAATTCTAGTCTCTAGTCTTTAGCTTAGTTAATTGAGGAGGGCAAAAGAATGGAGGTCAGAGTTAGAGTCTAGAAGACCAGTGTTGCAGATGGATGTGATGCTCCAATGGGAGGATTACAGGTTTCTGAGGTGAGATGAATGTATCAGCAAATGGTTTTTGATACACTAAGGGTCTTTGGATTCTGAAACCATTTGTGATAATATTTGTGTCTGCTTCATTAAGTGAGGTGAGTTGTGTGAAGCTATGCAACATTATAAAACCATGGTCAGAACAAACAAACATATTCCATCAACATCAGCCCAAACCACTTCCAGTTTTGGAGCATCTACTTATTGACAGATTATTGTTGTTTAAGGAAACAGCTCATGGAATTCTAAGTATCCAACATGAAGAGAGAGAGAGAGAGAGAGAGAGTGCAAATAAATAATTTTACTGTCATGTCAAGGCTCATCCTCTGCATATGTAAGAAGAATTTGTCATCATGCACGCTAAATTGAAGACATGCATATGGTTTTGGTCTGTGACAATGTGTTCGAAACTATATTGTTAATTCAGGATTAATGAGCCTACATTTAATTATTGGGATTTGGGTACCTAATGGCTATTTCAACCCAACTTGGTCTACGATTCCAAGCCTCGAGTCTAAGTTGGCCAGCCCAATATTTTGTACAATTGCAGTATGGTCCAGTCCGATGCGCGAAGATCTTTAATCAAAATTCCATAGAGCAGCCCTCCAACCAGCACTTCTACGATGGTGTTCAAATCGATTTTCGATTCCTTTTGGTTAACATAAGTTTAGATTTATGTAATCGAACTAATTCAAGATCGATTAACTAGTTAATCAATTTATTATATATATATATATATATATATTTATATTTATATTTATAATTAATGCTGAACCAATGAGTAGCTCTGAAGTCGACTTCTGCGACCCACAAATGGTGCATCCAAGATCTTATTTATTCTTCAGGTGGATAGCGTCATGCGCTCCGAGACCATAAACGTTGGCATACATTTCCAAGCGACCTTTCATGGAACGTGGGCCTTCCAAATGTGCATCTGGATAAGGAGGAAAACATGCATCCCATGATATTTGTGTCCCACCTGTTTGCTACTTGTCCATCAAACTGTTCATTCCTTCGATGACTGGTGCGGAATCAACCAGCACAGCTGCATTTAAGCCTGCCTTCTCTCCTTGCTCGTTTAATTGCTTTTCTCCTTCCCATAGTTTCTGATTCAAATGGAACAGCAGCGTTCAGATCATGAGATGAATCTTACGCCCTCGCATGAGGTCATTGTTTTACTTGCAATTACAGCATTTCAAGAGTTGTTCGATCGATAGTTTAACATCAGCATTTGGTTTTCAGGATTCATCTTTAGGGGCAAAGGAACTACCGTTTGCAGCGCTGTTGGTTAGCAGATTGAAAGAGAGAACGAGAGATGCCGAGATCGAGACGGCTCAGTTGTCGAATGATCTTCAGATGGCCAGAGGTGAAGCTAAAGAACTCTCTCTCAAGATCGAGGAATCTAATGCCAAAGCAATGGTCCATAAGTTGAAGCTTCAAAATCTGCTGGGGGACACCAAAAGAATCCTCCATGAAGCAAATCACAGTCACTACGCACAAGTGTTGACAGAATTGGAGGGCGTCAAGAAACAATCAAGGAAACTCCAACTTGAAATTTCTTCTGCTTTAGACACGAAAGCCAGCGCAGAGAGGGAAGTCGAAGACTCCTCCACGAAGTCGAGGTTGTTTGTGAGCTATATCGACGAGATAAAGGAGGAGATAGCGATAGCCACCGTCGAGGAAGCATTGATTAGCCTGGCTGGAATTGAAGCCGACAGAGAGCTCAAAGAAGTCGAAGCCCGACGTGAAGCAGAAGTCGATCGCTTTCGTAAAAGCATGGAAAAGACTAAGAGCACAATCAATGATCTCCATCAAGATGTCAACTATGCCGGGAAGCTGCAGAAGAAGCTGGCTGTGACTGCTTCAGATGTCAATGTCTTGCAGAATGAGATAGAGCTCATTAGAGCCATGGACAAGAACTGTCATCACAATTCCTCTGAGAACAGTTCTTCTTCACTACAATCTACTGATGCCGAACTAGAGACGGCAAAGAGAGAATTACTGAGCCTTAAACAAGGAGGCTTTCAGCTCATGGCTGAAATGGATGCTGTGAGGGACGTACTACAACAAGTAGCTTATGAGAAGGAGCATTCAAGCAACTTGAAGAAGAGAACGGACTCCAGTCTCGCGCATCTCAATCATAAGCTCAACAAAGCCATGTCCAAGTTGGAAATTGCCTTATTGGCCGAGAAGAGAACTCAAGCCGTAGTCTCCAACATCTCGGCAGCATTGCAACAAATGCAGACAGATATAGGTGCAGCCAAAACGGAAACACAGCGACTCACCGAGGAGATTGTAGCTGTAAGGATGGAGATTGTGAAGACCAAGGACCACAGTGTCTTGATGGAGGAGAGACTTGAGGCTGCAACGGATGAGCTCAAAGCAGCAAAAGCATCAGAAGCAGTGGCGCTCGAAAAGCTGAGAACAGTCACTGAAAGCGCCATGAGTGACCGAGCAATGATCTCAGCTTTGTATGGTTCCACTGTGACCATTTCCAAGCACGAGCAGGCGGCAGAAGCATGGGGAGATGATGGGAAAAAGCTTTGCAGAGCAAAGAAAGGAAATGTTTATAGGAAGGCAGTCCAGGATAGAGAACCAGTGAAGAAAATTGTGAGGCCATCAGATCGAAGCATGCAGCAGCAGTGGCAAGGAGATCTCTCACTGTAAGTGGTGTCCAAGGGGCAGCAAGGAGGGCGAAGGTTAGAGGGCCATCGGTTTCATCAGGAAGGCAGCAGCCCAGCGTCGTGTCTTCAACCTTATGCTTAGCGCCCAGGAGGAGGAAGACGATCTTGCTTAACCTAGTGAGATTTCTCAGAGGAAGCAAGTAGGTCATGACAGCAAAGCCATGGACGAGTGTGTTGTGGTAGAAGGTACGGCTGGTGCCTTGCTGCAGAAAGCTGATAATTATCGTGATCTGTAAATTTTAACTACTGATAAATGAATGATGTATTATATCATATGACATGTTTTTGGCCTTTCTAGTGAAGCAGGACATTATTGCTCATACACAACTAGTTAGTTTGTGGCTTCTGTAATATTAGTATTCCAATGAAAGAAGGAGGTTTCTTTCCAATCGTATGAGTATTCGTGTCTAAGTTAGTCCTCGATCTCAAGCTCGTATGAGCCCCCTTGGGATGTGATTTTGGGTGGAACAGTGATTCAGACTCGAGAACTTGATGTTTCCTACAAAACTCAAGTTACTATTTATTTGCTTGAGGTACGAGTTAAGACCCTACATAATCGAAAAGGTCCAAGTCAGTCAGACCATATTTCTCTATTTTGCTTCTTCTTCTTCTTCTTCTTCTTCTTCTTCTATTTTGCTTTCAAAAATTAGATTGTCTGTGAAACTTTTTACTTTTCTAAGTATTATAGTACTAATTTGTAACTGGTTACTTAATTTTATATGATATTTCGAATGGAGTGGGCCTTACCAAGTATTCTTTGTTCTATTGCTTGTTGTTCTCTAAACAAAGAAAATTACTCCTTTGAAAAAAATATTATAAAAATATATTTTCTTTTTCTCCAAGAATCTTTTATAGTTGATTAGAATCCATATATGAATTTTGATTGATAGGAAAACGTTTAATTGTATATCGAGATCACTCGAAACCACTATTGTAGTTTACAATCGACATGCCTATTAAAATTGCCATCATTCATTAAGAAAAAAAAATGGATATTGGTGCAAAGCACCCATCATTTCATTCCAAAAGTTATGAAATGTACAACAACAGGGATACAAATTGAAACTTTTTTCATTCCATCCTCTTTCTCTTGTGCCATTGATCTCATTATGACTGGCTTTACATTATCAAGTAGACCTCTCAATACATTGGTTGCAAGTTATGAATGTACAGAAACAAGAACCAATCCTCAAAAATATACAATGCATCACTACAAACATAATCATTTTGTTGTTACTTCAACAAAGATATATAGCTTCCAAAAGGTGGCTAGGATAAAAGTTGTATCAAGATTTCATGCTTCAGAGAATCAAGGTTGATAAGTATCTTACGAAATGGTAATTAGATTCAAGCTACATGGAGGATTAGAAATATGATAAAATTAAAATAAAAAATATATATCAGCAAATTAAAATTTATTAATATAAAATATATTATATATCTTAAGGTTTTGATGAGAGAAAATACTTTGGGTGTTCCTATGATTTTGTTTTTAGATATAGAAAGGATTGAGAAAGTAGTTTTTTTAATTTGTATAAAAGAGGATATATAAGATAATCATTACTTGAGTCTTTGTTAAATTAAGAGAAATATTCTTAATATTTAATTTTCTTGTATAGTATACAAGATATTTCATGACTTAAATTGGATCTTCTGACTTATACTATCGAACTAATTATATTTCTTATTTGACATACCTATGACATCTAACATAATCCTTTTGTTGATTTTCTTATTTATGTTTTTATATTAATCTTTGAATTTTCTTTTAGTTTCTACATATTCTGTCTCATAACATATTCATTTCATTTTATTGGACTAACTTGAAGTGTCATGGGAGCAGAGAATAAAGTTGGGTAGGCAGTCATATTTGCTAGTCGGTTAGGTCATGAGAGGAAACAAAAGAAAAAGTATAGGATGCGGAGGGAGGTGAGTCAACGGTCCATTGTGCTGCTTTGACTTGTTATTCCACACATTTATTGTTATATTCTTCTGCTGTTCAATCTTCTTCTCAATGATGCCTGTGATTGCGCAGATATGACCAACCTTAACACCCTAATTTAGTCAATCATTTCTGAATCTTTCCAAAAAAAAGTTGACTTGCATATACCATATTGACATTTGTTATAGTCTTCTGCTGTTCAATCTTCTTCTAAATGATGCCTGTGATTGCGTAGATATGACCAACCTTAGCACCCTAAGTTAGTCAATCATTTCTGAATCTTTCCAAAAAAAAGTTGACTTGCATGCACCATATTGACATTATTGTTATACTCTTCTGTTGTTCAATCTTCTTCTCGACGATGCCTGTGATTGCGCAGATATGACCAACCTTAGCACCCTAATTTAGTCAATCATTTCTGAATCTTTCCAAAAAAAGGTTGACTTGCGTGCACCATATTGACATTTATTGTTATACTCTTCTGCTGTTCAATCTTCTTCTCAACGATGCCTGTGATTGCGCAGATATGACCAACCTTAACACCCTCATTTGGTCAATCATTTCTGAATCTTTCCCGAATAAAAAAAAAAAACAAACTTGCATACACCAAATTGACGATGCAAAAATTGCTGAAGACTTACTCAACCCAACACTGGCAATGATGATGAGAAGCAAAGCAAGTCTCACGGAATAAAAATTCCTTTATTTGTTTAGATAATTTATCTAACAAAATTTTACTAATCGATTTTTATGGGTTGATACTCTCTATTGAGAAACTATCGAAGAATATTTATTTTCATAAATTGATGACTTTTTCTAAAAATATTATTAATTTTAGTTTTTTTTTCCTACAGTCCCTGATTTGAAAATTGCTCAAACAATATCCCTTGGCGAGTTATTTTATTCATTTAGCCGTGGACATCTAAGCTATTAATTTTTGGCCCAAAACAATGGGTATTAGACCGCTGGTTCAATAAAGCTAGAGATGGTACACTGCTAGTATAACATTTTAACTTTATGATATAGTGTCCAATAAGCTACTTGTCATCGTCTGGGTGGTGACCTTGATGAAAAGCAAAAAGCTTCTCCTTTTTCGCTTTTTTTTCTTATTCATCTTCTAATTCTCTTTTCCCTTTTTCCGTCGGTAACTATTGTTCTTCTTGTCCATCTCCTTATTCTTATTTTTTCCTTTCTTCTTAAATCAAAAAAGATAAAAAACATCATGTAAGTATATTAATATCTTTAAAAAATATTTATTTCATGCTATACTTTTATGGAAGCTAATGTGTTATAAATAATTATATTATAATATTATTAAATCTCAAATTTTGATGATAAAATCAATTGATGAGTTTGTGATCTAATCAATGTTAGAGAAAAGTAATACTGGACTATCTTCGATCATGAAAAGATAAAATGATTAAAGTAGGAGAATCAAATATTGGGTCGAAGCCAGAGATCGAGCATTGAGTCGGAGCCGAAAGAATCAGACATTACGCTAAGATCGAATGTCATGGGAGTCAACATGCCAAAGGATCGGACAATACGTTGAAGGAAAGTACGATGCGTCGAGAGTTCGAATGAACCAATGACATGCTGGACAACATAAAATTCTTATATTGTAATTGTTTATCTTGATCGTTATAGTTTAGGTCTAATTGAGTTTGTTTTGGGTATAACTATATTAAGTTAATTAAATAGCCCATTAGGTTTGAATCGGGATTGATTTGGGCCCATTAAGAGGCTCATTCAATGATCCTTAGTTGGGTCAGGTAGTGGCACCACCAAACCAGGTGGTGGAACCGCCTATAAGTTGGAACGTATAAAGTGTATATTTTCCGAAAGACTTGACGATGGTACCGCTAGTGTCAAGCGGTTGTACCACCCAAACTGACGATGATACTATCCAGACCGACAGTAGTACCGCCAATACATGATCTCCCATGTTATCAAATGGTAGTACCACTAGTGATTAATGCTATAGGTAGTGGTATCGCCCAACACTAGCGATAATACTGTCAGGACCCCGAAAACCCAAGGATGAGACTTTTTTGCTCTTTTTTGCCTATAAATACCCCACTCATTTTTGCTCAAGTTAGAAAGAAAAGTGAATGAAAAGGCTATAAACACTTAAAAAGTGTTAAGTGTTCCTCTCCTCCTCTTTAAAGATTAGAGCTTATTCTAAGCGAGGTGAGAGATTTGTAAAGATTCTCTTTTAAACCTATGAAAAAGAGAAAGAGTTGTAAAGAGGGTAGTTGGTCTTCGCCCATTTGAAGAAGATCGTTAGTGAATGCCAATAGCCTCGATCGAAGAGGAATCAAGAGTGGACGTAGGTCACGATGACCGAACCACTATAAATTCGATATGCATTTCCTTTTTGCTCTTCATTGCTATTACTTTCTAATTTAATTGCTTATTACACTTACTCTCAGTTAAGCACATTTTTTATATCGATTTTCATCGAACGAAAATTTTAAAATCATAATTTTACGAAAGCACTAATTCACCCCCCTACTTATTGTCATTACGGTCCTAACAATTGGTATCAAAGCCAAGTTTCTCTTGGTTGGTTTAACACCCAAGAGAGACTAAATGGACTTTGCCAGCAATCAAGATAGTCACTCTATCACTCATCTTTATATGTTCAATGAGACGGACTATACGTATTGGAAAACATGAATGAGAAATTTTTTTTTATTTCTATAAACTTTGATTTATGGAATATTATCGAATATGATTTTTAAAAATCCTCTAGACCAATAAATGAATAGAATGATCTGGAGAAAAAAATTATTTTCTTTAAATGCTAAAGCCATGAATACTTTTTTTTTATGTTTTATACAAAAATGAGTTTAATTGTATTTTTATATGCGAAACTGTCTTATTTGACACACACTCGAAGTTATACATGAAGGCACAAGTAGAGTTAAAAAGTCTAAAATTAATCTTTTGGTGTATAGTTATGAATTATTTTGAATGAAGCCAAGTGAAACCATTGGCGACATGTACACCCATTTTACGGATGATGTCAATGGTTTGAAAGCTCTTAGTAAATATTTTATGAATCTTGAACTTATTAATAAAATTTTATGATTTTTTCCAAAAAATTAGTATCCAAAAGTAACTACTATTCAAGAAGCAAATGACTTAAACTATTTTCCTCTTGAAGAATTCATGGGGTCATTAATGACCTATGAAATGACTTGTAAGGCACATGATAAACATAAGAACATCTTTCCAAAAAATGAAAAGGATATGACACTTAGAACTAAAGAAGACCACTCAAGTGAATGCTCAAGTGATGATGATGACTTAGCACTCATCATAAGAAAATTTAAAAAAATTATAAATAAATTAAATAAATATTGTAAAAT